CCAAAATGGGGCTCGGCCCGAGCCATGACTCGGTGTAATTGAGCCCGAGCCGGACCCGGCTCGGGCTTTTTCAGAGCCGACCCTGAGCCGACGAGCTTTTTTTCCATCCCTATTCGAATGAAACGGATGTGTGAATGGGAGAAGGAACCTCAATCATACATATATATATATTGAAAGAAATAATTAAATTCGATAAAGTGCTGAAAAGTGTGAAATTTATGTAGGAGGTTGGGGGTTCGATTCACGTCTCATGCGAATATTAAAGTCTATGGTTGAGGCATATTGTGATGCTAATTGGATTTTGGATACTAAATAAATTAAATTTACGAGTGGATACGTGTTTACTTTAGGTGGCGGTGTTGTATTTTGGAAATCCACTAAGCAAACCTAGTTGCGAGATGTACTATCGAATCTAAGTTCATAACTTTAGATAAGACAGGTGAAGAAGCTGAATGGTTAAGGAATCTCCATATGAATATTCCTTTGTAGTCTAAACCATTTTCAGCTATTTTTGTTCATTATGACAGTCAAGTGGTTATTTCAGGAGCTCAAAATTCATCATACAATAGAAAGTCTAAACATATTCGTAGGAGGCACGATACTATGTTTCAACTGCTTAAGGATGGGATCGTAGCTATTAACTATGTGAAGTCAAACGATAATATTGCTGACCCATTAATCAAAAGATTAACTAGAGAGCTAGTTCAGAAAATATCAAGGGGATGAAGGCTAAAGCCTATTAGAAACTAGATCACCTATAATGGAAACCTATCCTTGAGATTAGGGAATTCACAAACAATGTTTATAGGGACAACAAAGTATTGGAGTGATTTGTGGGGATATTACATTGGATTTATTCCAACCCCTCCTTCCTATGATGTGTAGTACCAACCGTACTGATTAGAGGATGATCTAATGCTCTTAATGCTTACTATAACTGTTATTCAATAGAGTGTTTAGTTGCAGTGCACTCGTGATAGAAGCACCTATTTGAGTATGGAAGTGGGGCCACTTTTTACGAGAATTGAGGCAATTCTCTAGAGCACACAAAGAAATTGGGAAAGTTCAGGCTGAAATGAACGCAATCGCGAGAACTCAATGATTGTCTTAGAATTCATGAGTGTGTTCTATTATCTTAGTTTGCAACCATAATTATAGAATTCAAGACGTAGTTCACTTTACAGTTATCAAAATCGATAGAATATACAAAGGCAATGTTCAAGTTGAAAGACACCTAAGCCTGTATGATTTCTTCTGTAGTTTAGAATAAAGTGCATAATTGGCAAAAAGTGTGGAATTTATATGGGAGGTCGGAGTTTAATTCACTTCCTACGTGAATATTAAAAAGTCTATAATTGGACTTTGGAGCATTGAGATTCTTTGATTAAAATAATTTTTTAATCAATTTTCGGAATTTATTTTATTCTGGTCAAACTAGCCAGGACAAGAATAATAGATTAAAGGCAGTTAATTGGTGGTTTATTGAAATCATAAAATTATAGTTTCATTTCATTAAATCAAAGACTGGAAGTTATGTTTCTTAAACTACATAAACCCTTTTTTGCCTTGGAAAAAGAGACTGAAATCATTCTTCAAGTCTTAAAATTCTGATAAACTCGATTTTAAGAACTTTCTTCTATTTCGATTCTCATCCCATGCAAATGTCAAAAAGTCTATGTTTGGACCTAGAGATGGCAACGGGACGGGTAAGGGACGGGGTCCACCTTTGTCACGTCGAGTATTTTTGTTACTTTCCCCCATCCCCATACCCGTTTAAAGTGGAATGGGGCGAGTTCGGGGCGGGTCCCCTATCCCATTTACCGTCCCATTTATTTTTATTTATTTTATTTTTTATGTATTTACTTAGTAAATATTATTATTTTTTACCAATTTGTTAGAAACAACTTATATTCTCTTTAAAAATATGATAAATCTATTATTTTTGTTTGATAAAAAATTTAAATTTAAAATTAACTTTAAGTTGGACGGGTACGGGAGCGATGACTATGATTCCCTTACCCGTTCTGTACTCACTTCGGGGCAATGACCCCCGCCTCGCCTCACCCCGTTTACCTGATTAGGCAGGTAATCCCCGCTCCGTTCGGGGCAGGGTCCATGGGTTTCAGGTTGAACGAGTTTTTTTGCTATCCCTAATTGGACCTTGAGGTC